TGTTTTTGTTGTTGTACATTTTGTTCTCAATTTGTATATACCGGAAAGCCTAGAACACTGGATTCTTTAAAGGACGAGGATACAAGATATGTACTGCAGAGCTATTGATCCTCTGATAAAGGCAGAAGACTGTCAGCAGAACTGTATAAAAAATAATTTTTATTTGCTCTAATGCGCAGCTTGTAATTGCCAGTTAGCTTTATATTTTTGTGTCCATGCTGAGAGAAATAATGCATGCAAACTACTCTGGTTCATAAAGCCCAGTTGGCAAACAGGTGACACCTATTTTATTACAAATGAATGTATAGGTTTTTTAAAAGAATAAACCACACTTTCTGCAACTAGGAATCTGTTGTTTTTAAATCCAGGACTTAACTGCATACTTCTGTTAGTTTGGCACCATAAGCCAAAAACTGTGGTACATTTTAAAGACTGACTGTGGCAAAAGGTGTCCTTCAGTTGACCCTTGGGTTTGACCTTTTTGGTGGATCCAAAAGGGTGGCTTTGATACATGTTGAATATAATAACTATTACTGTCAGGGAAAGTTAACACAACCAAAACTAGTTTAAACACCAGCGACTGAGAATGCTTTATTGTGATTTGTGGCCATGAATTGCTCTAAAAGTCAGGGATAACTTTAACTGCAGTTATTTTAAAGGTTTTTACCATAGCAACTTGGCCAGTTTGTTCTTTAGTGTTAATTCCAACTTGACCTTGATGTACTGACTAACTGGATCGGAGCTGATAAGCCTGCTAAATTGCTTGGTAAACATTAGTATACAGCAATTAAACAATCTTAATTTGTCAAAAGTGATCTCTTTGGGAGAAGAATTCCTTAGGCTGGTTCATTGTTACACTCGGTAAATGTTGTACTGTGAGAATGCAGTATGTGGAATAAACCTTGCTACTTCACATTTACAAGAGGGACTTCTGCTCAGTACTGCTGTATTGAAATATACAGGCATTCTTTAGATTATCCCCAGAAACCTTAGTTGGGTGTGAGAAGATTAGGGTGATGTCTTGCTCTCGGAAGCAACATTTCCATGCAGAATGAGATGAAAATGCTTATTGGCCCCCTTAGGACTGCTACTTTGAAGATCTTTTTCAGAAAAGATTCCTGAAATGTACTTGTATGCAGAATTTTTTTTATCTTGCTGTTATAATGCATTTTATAGTTACACATGAACTGTTAACACATGGAACTGCTGACTGGTTTTCTGAATAGAGTTACGTATGTTGCACAACAGTCCTCGAATGTTTTTAAAAAAAAAAAAGTCTCCGTGTGAAGAACTTTTTTCACTTCAGCTAGAGACAGAACCTATGGCCTACGCAGAGGAGCTCAATTACACATGTACAGCTGTTTTCATACTATAGGTTGCATATTTAAAATTAGAATTATCCTGTGTAAATTGAAATTAGGTAGCTGGGGTGGGAATATTTTGAATAACACTAACTTATTTTTAAAAAAAGCAAGATAGGACTTTGTGCAATGTATTTTTGTAAATGCTTTTCAAGATGTCTGTTATTCTTTGCTGCCTCCAAACTGACAAGATGCTATTGAGATGTTTAAATAAAGAGTTTTAATTTTTAAAAGTGCATGTAATATTTGAAACAAGAAATAAAGCTTCTTTTCTGTATTTTTGATCACCTGCTTGAATAACTGAGGCCAGGAGGGACTCTTATCACTAGAACTGTCGTACTGCTTTCCCCCCATGGCTCATTTCCAAATATACTCAACCTCTTTCTGCCCCTGCCCTGATTCCCTCCAGAAGCGATCCTCCCTGGTAAGTGTGCGGGGGCTGAGGGCTGTTCCCGAACTCTGAAGTGCAGCTCCAGGAGCAGTCCCTGTTCGGCAGTCACGCACCTGCGCCTCGCTTTTCCTTCGGCATTTCTGTGCAGCCCTGTCTTGTGCTGTTCAGTGCACCTTGAAACTTTTGAAGAAGAAAAAAAAACCAAAACCAACTACACGTCAGTAGTTGCTGGATGATTTTCTGCTGTGTGCAATGCCCTTTGGAAGTGTTGGGGGGTTGGCCTTTGGTTTTTTTAAACCCTTTCCTCAGCCTTGCCCCTACAGCCCTACACAGCTTGGTGTTACTATCTGCCATCCACACACCCTTCCCGTTTGTTTTTTTTTTAATATCCTACGTTTTCGCCGGGCTCGCTCGATACTGAAACCAATCTGACACAGCCCCAAAACCGTTGGGCGTTTCTTTAATTCTGTTTTTAGCCGGTGGACGGGCTCACCCCCCCCGCCCCGGCCCCGTTCGGTGGAGCTTGCAGATGAACAC